CCCCGTACCTCTCATTAACGTCGTAAGCTGCGCTAATTGAACTCCGTGTCGCCTGTTAGCTTTGTCTGGTTGTGTATGTATATTAAAAGTGCATCTCATCTCACATATCATCGCCGTTAAACAGAAACAAGACCAATAAAGCCCGCCTATTATCTTCTGCAGTTTACGGATAATGTGACTTCTCACTTATCACTGCACCAATCAAACAACCTGTTCCCGGCTCACTTTTCGTCGCTCCCCTGACGTAAGGACGTTGCTGCTCTTCGAGATGAACCTTATCATCCGTATGACTCCATTCTTCTCAGGGTTCACGTCGAAATAGAGATATGCCTTTACGCCAGACGAGTAACGCTTTATCTCTCAGACGGGTTCGCGAGCTGCTACGGTAGATACATACACCGTACTACAACTATGCCAAATCGTTGTGTCTGAATCATTTTTCGGACGAGGTATAGGTATTTTCCTAGAGTGAATCACTGCATAGCTTGCTCGATTTCCTTGACTCTATAATGCGGATTTTTCTCCTTTTTGGTGTCGAAAAACAAACAAATAAATCAATATATTGGCCATACCCGTGACTCTCAGATATCACGGTAATGCCTCGACGAAATCGGATGAAAACATCCTAAAATTTGGCAACGTTGGAATTACCTCCCCGAAATTTTCGGCGATTTTCAGTTCAGTGGCAGTGCCCAGTGTTTGATCGAACTCGCCAACAGCGTCATTGACCGGCCGTCTAGCTTGTTCCAACAGTGCGTTCCCCACGCGTTTTTGATCCCAGACTTTAGTCTGATCATTTATTCAGCTTCGCGTTTTGGTTTCAGTTTCACGTTCTGTGCGTAACTTACGATATTTTTTAGCTTAATCACGTGTCGAATTTCGGGAGTTTTCCCTGAAACCACGCAAAGTGCTCCAACGTAGGCTCCAGCGTGGTTCTACGTCTAAGCTACCTACCCGCATTTCTCTCCAGACTTCTGAGCTGGACTTGAGTATGTCGCTTTTCGGAGAATTTCTAGCCGTGCAATTGTTTATTTCCACGACCTCGTATATTTAGCCGCTTACGATAACGTAATCTAATTCAAGTTCTTCCTATTTCGCGTTTTGTGCTCCTAATTTTGATGGAAAGATATATTTCGATATATATCCATAGATCGATTTATACATATTTCGATTGTAAAATCGTGCTATGCTTGTCACAATTTTGAATTTCGGGTCCAATCGCCAAACTTAGGCAACCATCTTGGAATTTATTCAACCCTCCACTCAACGAATAACCTTTTTGACGCGAGTTTTGTGCGGAGCTTCTCGGTGTTTTCACTTCCTCTTTAAAAAGTCTTAAAGTTTTAGTTCTTTTGTAAGTTTTTACGTTTTTTCACCTCAACGCTTTCCAAATAAGTTGCTTCGGTTTTTACATCTCAAGCGTTAACGTTTCGTTTTTCAAGTTTGTACATATACTTTTTGGACGAATTTTCAAAAATCTACAATCGACGAGGTTTTCCTTCATTTTCCGCTTGTTTTTTCTCGCGGCAACGAGTGAAATCCGTGTGATCTGCGTACTTCTCTGAGATGTCTGAATCCGAGATGGCGGCTCAAAAAGCGTGGCGAGATGTGTTTCTCGTGGGAACTTTTTTGAGAGTCGGGTCGGCTGCTAAGAGTTTGTTCGCCCGCAACTCTGCTCCTAGCGGGCAAGACACAATTGAGGTGGACGATGAGCTTACTCGTTTCGAGCCCGTAACCAGCACGACCTCTGAGGTTCGTCCATTTTTAATATTGCAGTTTCACTTTTGATACATATGTACTCTGAGTATGATTTGAAGTTATCGAGAATCATTCAAAGTTCTGGGACACCCCCCTCCCTTCAAAGCACTGAGGAGGAATTTTAATTCTTTTGCTTTTTTATTTTTTACCATTTGAATGCCATCTTTTGATCTGTACTGCGGTGCTTAGCAAGAACGCTGTAAATCCATCAAGAATTTTCCTCGTTTTTTGGAACTTAGCACCTTATAAATTAAAAATTGTTTAATCCATGCATCTCAAATTTTCGGATTAGGTTCTTGATGGTATTTGCGAGAGAATTCTGTAAAAACATTATCCCAAGGTACACAAGCTTTTCTGCTATGATACATTGTTTCCAAAAAAATGTAAATGGCGTTTACGGCGTTTCTACGTTGCACGGCAGTGTAATGCACCAGCGAAAAGAATTTTTTCTGACGAAATTACTAGTCTAAGAAAATATCTGACAGATTGATTGTCCGACCCGAAAATAAATTTAATCTTACTTCTAAGGCTTATACACTTAAGAAAATGCACCATGCCTTGCGGCGTTAAACTGACAAAATTTTGATTAAATCCTTTTTTGCGATTCCTTATTTTATTTTATTTTAATTTTCTATGAGCAAAGCTAAAGGGTTCCTTATCACTAGTAAATTTTTGACGGCGTGCAGGGAAGAACAGTACAATTATTGAAACACGATGAAACTATTTATTTTTATTTTAAACCTTGCAAATTTCCCTTTAGAGCTCTTTTTAACAATCGGCAATAGAAAATTAATCGTCTCTAATTTTGAATAATTGCATGGTTTTTTTTAGATATGTATACCAGATAGTATTCTCTGAAAATTGCATGCATTAGTTTATTTTTTTTTACACAATTCAAACTGAAAGAGAAAAATTTGAAACACCGTTTTTCATATATCTGATGGAATTGAAGAAAATTGCGATGATCACACATGTCAGGAACTTGTTGATAACATGTTCATAGGTGCGGATGATTCCGACTTCTTTTTTCTTCGAAGATCAATTAAAAAAAACAACGTCAATCCATACAAACTGTTAGTCGTAACACCCTTTTTATCCCTAGGAAAGGAGTGGAAGAACTTTTCACAATGTCTCATAATGGACAAATCTCAAGTTAAATATGGCATTCCTCACGAGCACGACTTCATGTTGTGCGGAGTTCATGGAGTATGTGCATGTTGCATATGCAAACAACTGAAGGCGCCCGTGCGTTACTGCGCTGCGCTGGTTGTCGTGGGGCATTGACAACAATTCATTATTCCGATTTGGACAAGAGGCGTGAAAAGGTCACCTTAACACATATTATTCTTGATTGTATTTAGAAGAATCTAAAGCCTTGAATTTGAATTTGTGGTAGATCTCAGCTGTGGTGGAAAGCGGAGGCTTGAATCCAGATGCCGATGAATTTCAATACAAGGGTATCAAAGATTTCAGCGAATCGGACCAGGCTGAATTTTATGAACCTGATGTCGACTTCGAAGAAGAATCACAAATGGGTGTTCTGGAGGATGGTAAGTAGATTTTTTATCAAAATTATCATTCAATTGCGAAAAGAAAATATATCTATGAATGCTGCCTCTATTTTCAATGAAAAATATAGCTCTAGGGGTATCTCTTCAATGGGAAAAGTTTCGCTGAAGGGTTCTCTCCCCTGTGTTAAAAGAGCTCAATTAAGGAAAGGTTAGAAAAATTCCCACTTTCCCCTCCGAAAATCCTGTACATGGCCCGATTCTAGTCTGTAGAGTAGACTCACGTTTAAGTTTCCTAAAATACAAATGACTGCATTATGTGAAAAGGAAATTTTTTTCTGGCTCCTTTCAGAAACAACGAATGTGCCATTAGTTTCCTATGTAGATATATGTTTTCATGGATGAGACAGACATTCCTAATTCTTAACGTTATAGAATGTCCACACGAGCTGTATTTCTCCCGTGCCCTACCTCCTCGATTTTAGGTGGAGCACGAAGAGCCCCAGCTGACATTTCGAATGTCTGGATCCGCAGGGTCAAGCCCTTTCAAGCTCCACGGTAACTACACTCTTGAATTCATGACCGAAGCGGAATACTGGACCCACAGTCATAGCCCAGTCCGCACTTATGGTTTTATTTACCAGCCTTTGAAGATCGAAAATTCCCTGTATATTATGTGGTATGCTCACGTATTTGAAGGCGCTTTAACTTGCGTCAGACGACACTGAGCGTGGTTTGAAACTAGCTAGTGTTGATTATATATTCGAATTGTTTAGAAGTTGAGATCATGCTTCGGAGATCGACATCTCCGAAGCATGATCTCAACTCGTTGCAATACAAATGAAGGTTTGAAGGCAATCTGTTATTAAAGCCCGCGCGTCGCGCGTCTTTCAGGGAGGTTGGGCAAGACATTTACTAAAACTGCAAATTTTGATGTTAATTTCTCCACATTCTAAATTTTACGGGGGCTTCTTAAAGGGAATTATACGAGAATACCAATGAAACGAAATCTGGAACTCTATGCGTTCTTTATTAACATGGGCACGAGTTTTTAATGTTCCCTCATTTTTTATGACTCCTCATTCCCCACTCGCCCCATCGAGCGCCGATGATGGCGAGGCGGTCAGTGTCTGAAGTCAAAACGCCTTCACTTTCGTGCGTATGCAACACGGACGTCCGTGGAGCCCGAATAGTTGCATCCAGGCGTTATAATGTTCAGTATCCATCGCGTGCAGTACTAACTAACAGAATGTGCGAAATTTGCAAAGAACAATCCTGGTGGATTGCATGGAGTTTGAAACAAAAACGCTAACCATTCGTCTTCCGTATAAATAAAATGCGACAAGAAGGATGTAACATTACAAACCTAGCTACATGCACGTATATGATTTCTAAGGTGCAAAGGCAGAACTGTGGCACAATAAAACATGGACGGATTCAAGGGGGAGGGGCGTAGGGAACGTACGCCCCCCCCCCTCGTTCGCTCGAAAAAAGGGAAAAGAAGAAGAAGAATAATTAAAGTAGGAAGGATCGGAGGAGGAAAGGAGGAAGGACGCCTATATTTGCTAAATATTCATGGCAAAATTGACTCACAGTGCATGTTAGATGCTGTAAAATTTCGAAAAAAAAAATGATATTAAAAAAATATGAAAAAAAAAGTCGAAAATTTTCTGGGGGAAGACCCCCGGTCCCCTCTTCCGCCCCCTCCCCGTTCGAAGTCTCTGAATCCGCCTATGCGATAAAATTTGGTGAATACATTAGTGAGAATTAAATAATGTGCTGCTAGCTCTTCCCCTCTGAAATTTGAGTTGCGCCCAGTTTCATATTAATTTCCCTACGCTAAAGATATGATCTCCTCGTTCGATGTGGACGAGTTTAAGTGTGATCCGAAAACTCAATTTTTTTAATAAGTTTACCTCTTTTCGATTTATTTACTGTCTCTTTTTCTCGGGCTTCTTTTCAACAATCACGAATAATTGGCCGAACGTGTGCAATCTCGAGCCGAGTATGCTAAGCAATGGACCACTAGACAAGGTACGAATTTAAGCATTCTGATACATGTATCTTAACCAGAATTTCACGTAAAACACGATTCGCGCAACGAAAATTACTGAAACCAACTCCTAACGGACATATTAACATTTTTATTTCACATTGGTTACGCAGAATTTGAACTGCCCGCTCTCAAGAAACTCAAAGCTCTACGTGAGTCAAATCGCGCACTACAACGGTTTCAGCAAGCTTCTCAGTTGAGCAATGTTCATTTCCCTCCATGTGTTTTTCAAACTATAAGTAATTTGCTATAGCTGAGCCAAAGTGTCAAGATTGAGGTTGCCAGTTTTTTTATTGCAGAGACGTTCATGATAACGTTTAGCGCGCGATGTGAATCACGTAGAACACTGAGTTTTCATGAGCGGGCGGTTTCAATTCACGCACCAAGAATCATTAAATATCTTCGAAAAGAGTTGATTTCGGTAATTTTCGTTGTGCGCATCGTGTTTTACGTGAAATTTTAGTGAAGAAACATGCATCAGAATGCTGAAATTTGTACCTTGTCTAGTGGTCCATTTTAAGCAGGACAATAGGTTTTAAATCGTCAAGAGTAAATCAGAGCCTCTAAAATGTTTTCACGCGAATACATCGTAAAAATTCAACAAGAGTAAAAATTATAAGCTGACAAATCACTCAATACAGGTACCAATACCGCTGACGTGTGAGCTATGTTAAGTACCGTGTGCGACCACGATTAAAGAGTACCCACGACCAGCAAATCTATCTCAGCAATCCGCAAAGTATAATCTCGTGATGACTCACTTTGACAGAGAGAATTCTTCGTACCTATCGCGGGAGAGAGGATAAGCAAAAATAAAACAAGTCGAAATGGTATCAAGTCAGTTTTCAGTCCACGCCCCCCCCCTTCCTCAAACTTTCGGGGGCCAGCATACGTCATTCTTTCTTAGAAAAGCAGCACCCCCCTCCCACAACTGATTTATCCAAGGAATGACGTTCACCGGTAGATATGAAGGATGTAAAATTCGCTTTATGCGCCGTGCTTAGCATATCGGGTAGGCGAATTTTTCTTTGGGCGCTGTAAACACCTTTAGGTGACCGAGGTTAGGATCGAAGTATGATCGGACGGACGCATGAACTCTCTCGTATGTCAATTTCACCCTGCTCTTTGGTCTAGTGCGAAAGTGGTTACCTCCTTGCACGGTGGATTCTCGGGAATACATCGAATAGTTTAGTTCTGGAAGCAAATTTGATTTTGTCGATTTTTCCGTTTCCATCTAATTGTCACAAATCCACACCGAAATGATAAAAACAGCTCTAAAGAGAGTGGTTGTAGGTGACAAAAAAGTTACATTGCACGTAGATTCTGTTTTTTTAAAGAAAATTATCACTAGAATGGCGCGAAAAATGTGAATTTTAAATGACACGTAGCATTCAAATCAACCAATCGGCCACGGACATCCCGAAATGCCTTGCGTTCGTACTCTAGGATCCGAGCCTTCTCATTGGTTGGTTGGTGTTCCTAAGAGGCAGTATAGAAGAAGGGCGTGCGAGTACCCACTTTCTTCGGAGTTACCCTCGTATGCCCCACTCTACAATTCTACATCGTTCGTAGCATTTCGGGTTGTGTGGAGTCGTGTCCCGTCGTCCATTTTGCAGATTTCTGTGAGAAATCTTACCGAGTAAGGCAACTCATCTCATCGGTAAGCCCTTTTTGATCAATTGACTCACGAAGTACGGTTTTCTCTTTAATCCTCAACCACCGCGTAATTATGTTGTGATATACTTGATTTATCGGTCTTTATTATGTTACAGTTAGTGCGATTCGTGATTCGACTCCCATTAGTTCAATACACCAATCTTCATGCACATGGTTTCCGGGTTGGCCATTTAACTTTTTACCCTTGAGTTCCAGTGTACCGCTTTAATTCTCCGTCGGTTGTGTTCGCTTTCGTGTAATTTTAGGTATATCACCCGTCCTCATGTCTGTGATGAGCAGTTCAGGTACAAATTCCTTCTTGTCACCTCCTCCATGACTATCAGTTTGGGATTGGGGTAAAAGTTCTCCAATTCTCTTCATTCGTCTGTAGCTCTCCTCCTTCACTGCTTTTTAAAACGTCTGTTGTGATTATTTTTCAAGTTGCGGTACATTTAACAGTGGCTTCCCCAAGTTCACTTGACTTCTGGTCATTGCATCATGACTCATTAATCCTGTCCAGTTTTTGAACTGCCCCCTCTTCATTTGCCAGTTGTTAGTCTCTCACAATCTTTGCTCTCTTTTGGATTCTCATAAAGTTGAGTAAAATCCAAGTTTTCAAATTATTTGTCTGATACTTCTCTTGGGTCCAGCAATGTCATTTACTAACCTATTAGGGGCCGAAGAATTTAGGCTCATTGCTTAACCTCTGATCTTACAAGTTCCGAAAGTTGCTGTTTACCCATGTAGCAGAATGGGGTGTAGCTAGCCTAGTAGTAGTCTATTCACTTCTAAGTTTTTCCCTAAGAAATTCATAATTTTACGCTCCTCTGATGCAGCTCATGCTTCATGCGATACCATCCCTCTTTTGAAGAACTAGAAGGTGCTTATCAACGGCACACATTGAAGTACATGGACTCCGTGGTTTCATGTTGACTAAGTTAATTTTTCAAGTTCCCGTTTACCTAGCAGTCTGTAAATATTCTAATTTGCTTCTCCTGAGTAGATGATCCACGTAAGTGTTTGTATGTCATTGATTAAGTAGGTTTGTACCTCCCTACTTCAACTCCTAAAAGAGGCTAATCACAAGCAATCAAATTCCATGTCTAGGTAAACCTTCAGTTCTAATGCTTTCATGGTCCATGAAACTTTCATTATTAATTCAAAAGTTCAATTTCTCGAATTTTTCTTCTCACTTTACTCAGCTTCTTAATTTACCTGCCGCCTCTGCCAAATGTCATTGAGCTTGTTCTTCCGTCCAGTGCATAAGTGGCAATACTTGATAGAATCAACACTCATAGTGAACAGTGGCAGAATGTATTTGTTAATCAAGTGGTTTTTGTTGCTTTGGAACTAACATGGTTTTGATGTTTGGCCTATGTATTAGATTTGTGCCCAGAAAGTTCTGAAAGTTTTCGTTGCTCATTTTACCTACTCCGTCGGTACATTCTCTGTACTGCTCTCTCTGCATTTATATGCTGAACCCAGATCAATCTCTCTTTGTTGTCTAAACCTCCATCGTTGCTAAGAATTATGACAAAGCTGGTGACAATACATAATGGGGCAGAAACTTTCAGAGGTCCCTGAACCCATGACCTATTTGGAGTTCCCACCGCAGCGAATGTAGTAGCAAAGAGTCATGAATGGTTTGATGAATATGAAACAATGTAGAAAAACATTTTAAGGTATTTAAGCATTGGATGGTTCCTAAAATTTAGCCCACCTCCAATTTTTGTTTCATTCTTAAAGTGAAAGTATACCAGAATTTGATGAGTCCACAGCTGTAGTTATTATTCTCCCAGTAGGAAAATGTTTGTGTTAATTTTATTCAGAGATAACTAAAGCACTGTCAGGGATTTTCCATTCTCTAAGGGGCAGCAGCAACACTCGTATTTGCTTTCTGATGGCTCTTGAGCTGCCTTCAACAAGTTGATGGTTACTAAGTAACAAGTTACTAGAGATGTTTTCCCCCAAAAATTGCTTGACACGCTAGAGCTGGGGGGAAAAAAAGAAGATACAAATGTTCCATTAGAAAATGGCACCATTTAACATTAATCTCTGTTATAACCAATGGGTCAACTGATGATTGATGCATTCAAGTTGATGTGACACTTGTCTCTTCTTTTCTTTCCCCAGTTCTACCCAATTGTTCACAAGAATTTAGTTTCAGAGGCCAAGTAGTAGATCTATCATCAATCTGATTCCCTACAGATCCAGTATGTCATTGACGTCACTGTACACCAAGTTTATAAACAGAATGGCTTTCTTTTTAGTGTATTTTCCGAAGAAAATACACTATTGCATTCTCCCATGATGTCGGATCCAGACCCGAGACCTTGTGAAGAGCACCGATCACGGGTCGTAGATCACGAAAATATATGCCATTTTTGTGGTTGCGGTTGGTACTCCAACTCGAAATACAGGGCTAGAAAAGGAAACTCTCCATCTGTTGCCAAGCAGCTGATGGAGGGTTCCATATTTATCTCTAATCTCTCCTGACTATGTAGCTATAAACAGTTTTTAATTTGATGCCTTGCAACTTTTTTCTTGTCAGATTTTTAAGTATGTTACTCAAACAAAAATCCAAGGAAAAAGGTAAGCGAGCGGTTACTAGCAGTGGTTCGCGGGGAAAGTGTCATTCAATCTTCAAATTTTATTTCTCACTCATATACCACTCTATAATTAAATACCCAATTGTTAGGAAGAGCACCAACAGTAATTGCTGCCTCACTCTCTTACAACGAAAGATCAGAAGTTAATTTATGTTAATTTGTCCTCAGATCGGGCTTGTTAGTATTCCTCAGATGTTACTCAAGGTTGACCCACTATATAACACGTCTCATTTAAGGAAATAATGTATTTGCTCACTAGGCTGTTGAAATCATATTTTTAATTTTTAGCAGCAACACCTACGCTCACCTAAAGGGTGATGAAAACATGAAAAATTTCATTAGTACTCAAGTGTAGAGAGATTTCATGCATATGTTTGGAATCTTTTCCTCCTGTTTGATATCCGTGCTGATTTAAAGTTTTAATTAATATTCGTACACACCTTTTTTAAAATTGGAAGTTTGATAAAGAAAATTGAAAATTGAATCATCAGTAAAAGTTGCTCTTTTCTATATGCATTTAGGTAAATCATTGATAGGAAAGAGAGAATAATTTTTGGCAAAAAATGCCTGAGTAAGTAAGTTCGGTAATTTTTTCCCATTAGTCTTTGGGAACTTACCTTGATTTGTTTTCTTTTTCTAATGAGGAAACGCCCATTTTTTAAAGCACTCCAATTCAGAAATGCCGCATTTAAAGTGTTTGACTACATCGTCTCTTCATAACTCAATGCTAAAATATTGCAGACACATAATTTGATGTGCTGCTATTTGCTACTTAGCTAGCATTCCAGTGGTCAGAATGATGGATTGTTGAGTGCGTCTTTCAAGAGGATGGTCCCCTTTTTTCGACCTTGGGTGTAATAGATATTTATCATTAATTATTGTAACTGGCTTATAATTTGAACTTAATCCATCTTTTTCTTTTCTTTTTTAAAGCTGTTTAAGGTACTTACTTAAATGTAACTCTTTTTTTTCTCTGTGGGCTGAACGTTAACTTACAAAAAATCATGTCCGAAAATCTTATGAAGAATTTTTTATTTAATGAATGCTAATTTGTGAATAAACCTGTCTACAAGGTTGTGAAATTATCAGTTTTATTTAAGTTACCCTTATAAGATGAAAATGGAACTAAGCCCCCCCCCCCTCATTTGTGGAATTATTCGAGCTGTTAGAAACTGGAATGTCGTTTGGAACTCTTCGGTAGCTTTTCAGCATTTTGGCCTTTTTCCCCCTGTTTTTGAATTTTTTTCGGGGAAGAAAATCGGATGTACCTAGGTATGCTTTTTTGCACTGATTTCAGTAAACTTTTTTTTTTTCTTCTTTTTAGTCAAGGTAAAAGCTAGTTCACTGAAATTAACCAAGTTCTTTTAGCATTTATATGTCGAGTGAATATCCTGTGAAAAATTAATGTCAGCATGAAACTTTAATTGTTGCATCTGAATAAATACCTCTTCTGAAGCTTTTAACGGCAGCAAAAGTGTAAAAAAATTGGACCCCTCTTTCAATAAAGCTTCATCATACTCACTCTTTCTTCGGTTCTTTTCTACTTGCTGATAACTTGATTCCTTTTTATCAAAATCTTCATTTTCATCTGTGGTAATAAGCATGTACCTAAATCTATTGTAAATAACCAGTACTAAGTAATGATTTGAGTCCGCTGGCCCACTAATTCTGCAGAAAAAAGGTGAAGGTGCTATTTTGTAGAGCTGATAATTGTTTTGTTAGAACTCCAGTAAATCCCTGACAAGCCCAGAATCAGTGACGATCAACAGAATACATGCAGTCAGTAGATGCCACTGATGAGTGCTGTCATCAACCTTGTTGGTTGTCCTGAACGATACCTGACCTTTTTTTCTCATTCTAGATAAATCGCCCGTAGGAAAATTCTTTTTGTTCTCTTGGTCAAACTCGCCAGATAAAAGATTTCATTACTTAAAGCATGAGACCTCTAAATGGTATTATATTCAGAATTTTTCGCTGTTAACATTAACCTTGACGATTTTCTTCACCACATTAATTTTCGAGATTTCCACTAATTCAATCAGGTATTTTATCGCAGGATATCTTTAAAATCGCTTCATGTTGTCATTGGTTGTTTCTCTCACTTTCTTCAAGATGGCTGGAAGTGTTAAAGAGGGTTTTTCCCAATCAAATTTTGACTTTACCATCTCCTCCCCCCTCCCTCAGAAAGGAAAACTTATGACATGATTTCATTTCAACAAATCTTTTTGTTCGTTTCTCAGGCAATATTTACCTTTAAATTCCTGTGTCACTTCTCCATTTCCCCTTCCATCTTTATTATTCTCTCCTCTTTTCTTTTTTTTCATTTGCACCGGTCAGTTCTCTCTCCTAGAGCCCCTATCATAAGTTATTAATTCATTGAATGGGCAGAGGTATACATTACTACTTAATTGATGTTATCTGCTATCTTATCAAGTTTAAAATACTTTCTTATGGGTGTCAAAGTCCACAGATCCCACACACCATCAGTCATGCTGCCCCTTCCCTCCGGGAGTCACGCTATGTCTAGGCGCCTCTTTTTTGTTGCATCACTTAACCTGTAATTTTCTTGCTTTCATCAGTCAGAACACGGTGAACTTTTACTTTCGTTTGCAGTCACTGAATATGAGTTGATTTTTCTGCTTTATTTAAATTTATCCTCTGAGGAGCAAACTTGCGATTTAATGCTTTCAGGTCAGAGAAGCGCAGGTTAGTTTAATAGTTACTTAAGCTAAAAGAGATTAGCATCATGCCTTTTGTTGGCAGATGGGGGTAAAGGGTCATCAGTTGTGAAAACAAGGATAAACTTAAATTCAGGCTATGGCCCTATTTATAACAGGAATTCATGAAAATTAATAAATCTCCTGAAATGAACATGTAAAATTCTAAAGTTGCACAGTCGGCGCTCTAAATTCAACATTTAATTACAAAAGGTAGTTTATTGTTATATAACTTCATGGTCTTGACATAACGCTTTTATTTTCGGTCACTTTGACTTCAAAAATGTTTCACACCCTCTAGGTAACTTTTTTTTCTACAAATATGTACCATGATCAATGAGAACTTTTTTCCTTAGTCCAAATATCTCTGAAAACAAATAAAATTATCAGGGAAGTCTAGAAAGCCTAATAAATTAAGAATTAGTGAAATATTATGTTTGAAAGTTCAATAATTCTTATTCTTGTGCCGCTTCAAAGTTTTTGTTTTAACTCACCGATATCTTGACCTGCTGAGAGTATTCATTCTTCTAGTCATTTTCCATATAGAGATTTTTTTCTACCACTTCCAGAGTGTGAACTTAGAAAGTCACAACCATTTGCATCGGATTTAAGAGGAGGGAACCAACAAGATTACAGTGTTTTTAAAATCGTTCATTATCATCACCATCAAATACCTAAATTCCTTGAGCAGCAAATAGTTCACATTTTTCTGCCTAAAAATTGTCAATTTCAAAGGAAAATTATTGTGTTAATTTTATTACTGTACATTTCAGTAAGTAGTATTTTTCAAAGCAAATGAGAATTCGCATGATTTAAAATTCTATAATTATGTTGGTTCTTTTCAGCCTAATGCAATCCATTTAATCTATTACAGTAACTGCATAGTTTGATCCAAGCAGAAATTGACTTACTCTTTTTATTGTTTCCAGGTTACGTGTACATGAATGGGGACATTGCAAAGGTTCCATCGGGGGCGGTCTACCCTGCCACCCCTGATCCCCTCACGGTCACGCAACCATCAGCCCCAAACTACAGGTACAGTTCTTTAGTATTTACAAGCCCTAAAACGCTTTTGTTCATTCATAATAGCATCACTCAAGCACATGCACCCTGAAAAAACGATTCATTTATTTCACTCACGTATAGTCTTACATTTGATAAAAGCAGTCTGCATTTGCCTGGAAACATACCTAGAAAGTCTATAAGAACACATTGATCTAGTGCTGGAAAAATAATTTGGAGTTATTATAAAGAGTGCCAGCTCTAGTTGTTGTTAATGCTGCCGTATTTACAGGGTTGCCACAGTCAAAAAATACTGGGTGAACTGGAAAATGTGGGGAAAACCAAGAAATGTCAGGAAAAATGATAAACGTGTCAGGGTTGAGTTTTTGAAAGTCCAACTATTTGCCCTCTAGAATGATTCTAATGTTTTGAACAGCAAATTCTGTTGCAAAATATTTCTTTTTATGATCTGAGAAAGAATTATCGAAATATTAGGGACTCTTGGGTCTAATGGTGTTGAGAACCACAAATTGCCTCCCACTTAGATTTTTGGAAATATCTTAAGTCCTTTTATGTTCGAATCCGTTTAAGTGAACGTATGGTAGAGATGTCTATCCTGTATCCTCTACTTATAGAATTGGCATGATGAATATTGATAAATTCTAATTTTCATTTGATGTTTTTGTGCAGTGCTCTAAATGGAGTCGTGGAATCCACAGAATCTGTCAGCGAGACTAGAGCGGCACATGGAGCACAACCGGGAGGAGGTGCTGAGCCAAGTCCTTCCTCAGAATCTGGGCTTCCATTGGACCAACTCAAACAGATGTTATCATCGCAGTTGGAATATTATTTTTCTAGGTTTGTCTTGCATTTTGTTGAAATGTTTTCAATAATCAGTTCAAAATATCAATGTTCCATTAATCTAAATCATTTTCAAATTTCAAAATAGTTTCCATTACAGGATGACACTGGGTCTCTTGAGGGTGATAAAAGTTCGAAAATTTTTAAGTAGGCCTGGAAATACTGAAAAAATGTATAAAATATATGAATGATGCTGCCTTCTCCTAGGTTTAAGCAATTTTCTTGGAAGTCATGCATTAAGCAGCTTTGCCTATGTGCAATATTAAAAGAAGGCTGAAAAGTCTGCTTTGTCAGTGTATTTGCGAGCACAAAGTAAAATACTTTAGATGATAGCCGTCTGAAAGTATGTTAAAAGAGCTCATTTCTTGTCCTAGAAGAGAATTATATTCAATCGTTTTGGAAAATCATTGCATTTTTCTATGAAGTATCTAAGTAGACTTGTGGTAGAAGTATCCTTGTAACGTATCATGGTATTAATATTTGGCCAGAATTTCCTTATTCATCAATGGAAAAGTATCCTCCCTCGAATCTTCTCATAATGAAGTGTGTGTGCCAGTCCAACCATCCCAAATTCTGTATCAGTTGAAAACCTGAAATAAGAAGTGAAATCATGAGATCCAGAGGTAACTATCAAAGCTTACTCGTTTTATGAGCTTGTACAATTTTAGCCCTATCTTTTCATTCTTCTGATGTCCAGTTTCATTTTTTTCATTATCATTTTTCTGACCAATTGTTAGAAGTGCTGATATAGATTTAACATTCTCGATTAGGAACCTCAAAATGATTAAAAAAATATTAGATCCCTCCTACATTGTATTTTTTCTCTTTTTTGCAGGGAAAATCTAGCTAATGACACTTACTTGCTGTCTCAAATGGACAATGATCAATATGTGCCCATTTGGACTGTAGCAAATTTCAATCAAGTGAAAAAATTAACTAAAGATATCAAATTAATTACGCAAGTCCTTCAAGGTATGTACTGCTGGTTAAAATCATGAATACCTCTATTATATCAGACTCTCGATTGCTTTTACTAGTCCAATACAAACAAGTACACCATCTCCCTCCACATGGAATGGTGAAAACACTGTTGAGAACAGCCGAAGGCCTCTCTAGAAAATGTATAACATGGAAATAATTTTTAACTCATGAGACTGGTGGCTGAAAGATCTTTGAAATAATTTCTACTAAACTTTGAAGGTACTTCAGTTTGGTGTTCATTAATAAATCCTGTTACTAGTAGTGGATAAAAATCGGCACCTCGGTTTTATTTGCTTGTCTCCTTTTGGCTATCAAATTCTTAATGGTGCCGACATAAATTTTAAATTGTCATTGAAACTGAGGTTAATATTCTTGAATCATCAGAATAAATAACAGTTTAAAACAGATCTTCGTAGAAAAAGACTCGCTACTGTCATTCAAATGATTTTAATGACAAAAGTAGCGTGTCTTTGAAAGTTGCAAAAGGAGATGGAGTGATTACATCATCTCCTTTCGCATTCAAGCATGAACTGCTTGATGGTTTTTATTGAATTTAAAGTACATGTGCTTAAATTTTTCCTTTGTGAGATGCTGATTGAAAGATTTTTGAAATTATTAAGACTATGACACACTGACAACTAAAATTTTGTTTTGAGGAATAAGTTTCAAAGCTAGTATTTTAGCGTTTTTTAAATGATCCAGATGTGAATAGGCACCTTGGTTTTATTTGTTTTCTCCTTTTGGGTTTCGAATTCTTAATGGTGCCAACATTAATTTTAAATTGTCATCAAAGCTGAGGTTCCTATGTTTGAATCATTAGAATTAATAACAATTAAAACAGTGTTCAAGGAAAAGGCTCAACTGATTTTATATCATTCGTCCCTAGAAGTTTCTTCAGCAGGATTTAAGCTCGTTATTCATCAATGTTCTTTCTCCTTCCTTATTATCGCAGCTTGAAATTTCTGTGACATTGAAGTTTCTAACAAGTTTACAGACAGATGTTGATCTTATATTTTCATTTTAACAATAAATTCTTGTATTTGATGATGCAGTCAATGCTTTTAAATCGTAGTTGTGACTGATGACAAAAATACAAACATTTCCATCAAATTAAGTTCTGAGATCTTTCAACTATTTGGAAGGAAATTTTTGTAAGAGTTTCGTGAGGATAGGGACTGTTAGGGAATTTTTTCTCTCATAGAAATCACGCAGGCCCAAGATTTAAATTTTCGTAAATGGTCACTGGATTTTTCACTTTCTTCTAAATCAGAAAATTTCTCCCAAGTTTATCAGAGATTTTTTTTTTTTTTAGTTCAGAGAAAGTCAGTAAAGTCCAATTTAGTTGCCACCTTGTGTGGAAAAAATATAGGTCATTTATATCATCAATGTATCTTCCTCCACTGTAAGTGTGTAATTTAACTTTCTTTTCTTTTATAGAATCACCCAATGTCCAAGTGGATGAGGAGGGTCAGAAAGTTAGGCCTAACCACAAACGGTGTATAGTTATTTTAAGAGAAATCCCAGATAGTACACCTTTAGAAGAAGTCAAAGTAAGTTTTTTCAGGCTGTTTTTCCTAATTTTTAAGGTTTTCCACTCCCATATGAGAAGTCACAGCAATATCTGTATGTAAAACCAAACCAGCTATTTTTTTTCTGTACATATAATCCAATCAAATGTCTGCTTTCACCACTAATGATAAATAGCTGACAGGAGTGGAAGACTTGCAAGAGATGTGGCTGCTTTTTGATAAATGAGTGCGAGTATCCTGTTATAAATGGGAAAGTCTTAGAATCTGCTATTAACAGCCTAAATTTAACCTCTCAGTGGCAGTATTCCATTTTAGGTTTTCATTGTCAATGATAACAAATCATGCGAATTTGCTGGAAAATGTCAAGAAAAAGTGACATTGTTGTGACAATTCCATAGTTTGTCTACTCCCAACCAGTAAATTCTTTTGAATCTACCTGTTTCGTAAAATTTATTGAGAAAGTGAAATGTCCCAAGTATTTAAAAATGTATAGTTCTATTTTTAATTTTTATTTTTTATTTTGTTGTAGGGTATATTTTCAGGTAGCAACTGTCCAAAATTTATATCTTGTGAATTTGCACACAATAATTCATGGTATGTTACGTTTGAAAACGATGAAGATGCACAGAGAGCATACAGGTATCTCCGGGAGGATGTTAAAGAGTTTCAAGTAAGTTAATTTTATCATGCTACATTGTTACAGTAAAACATCAATATAATTAGGCTTTCAGTGGATTTTCAAAATTTTTTGTCAAATTAAGGTCGTTTTATCGAAACTTGTTTAAATACTCAGCTAATTTTGTTTAGAGTCTTTAAACTCCCGCAGTTTTCATGGGGTTTTGCAAACTGCCAAGTTTTCATGAGGCTGTTTTGCAGCTTACAGTTGTTTAATAATAATACAAGTATTATTAAAGAAAAGGCAATATCTCTGCTGACCAGAAAAATTAGCTTATAAAATTTCAAATTTTGTGAAATTCCACCAACAGGGCACAGAATTTCGTCCAGAACTTGAACTTCTGAAAGAGATGGTTAGGTTAACGAAATCAGCAAAAGTGTCCAAGAGCTCTATAAAATTATGACCTGTGGCTCTTGGCGATCTTGCATAGTCAATGTTTGAATAGATGTTTGAGTGCAACATTTTTTTCAGACCCTATAAGTTCTTGAATTTCCGGGATAATTATGATGTATGTTCATCTTTGAATTTACAAAGGCAGCATATTTGAATCTTGTGTTTATCTTGCAGTGCCTTTTAAAACTTCTTCCACCAATTCAGTGGCACAAGCGGAATTTCAGTCCTCATCTTTGTGGATTGTAAATCAGATCACTCGCAATGTGCTAAAGCAAACATGAGTAGAGTTTCAGGGGAAATATTTAACAGAGATAGTTTCCTATTTTTGGTTACTCTACCATAATTTTTCATGACATCAGATATCAAAGTATCTGTTTGTGTCAGAACTCATGATCTGTGTTCTAACTTCACTTCAGAATTATTTCAGTCGCCAGACTACCAAGTCTAATTATCAAGGACCATTTAAAATGTGCAGGGGTTACAAAAATTTTTGAAATGGAGGAGGAAATTTCACAAGAGACAAGGTTGAAACAAGGCACCGTGTCTTGGCTAAGCGTTCCTTATTTTTAAGTACCCGGTGCTCAGTGAATTTAGAACTCAGCGCATCATCTTCAAACTTATTTTATTATCAATGTCTCTTGTTTTTCCTGAAGAAACTTGTGTCAATCTTTGGTTTGTCATTTCCCACAGGGTAAGCCAATCATGGCAAGAATAAAAGCGAAGCCAATGAACAGATTGCCAATGTCAGCCCCAGTTGGAGGGATGGCTGGAGGGATGAAAAATGGATACCGGACTCCTCCAGGAGCAGCCCCAATGTACGACCCTGTAGCCAGTTACCCTCATCCTGTGCACCCTCCTGCCCCAGGGCCCCCTCCAGGCCCTCCTCCACATCCAAGGTTCCTTTACGCTAATGGCGGCTCACTACAAACTGTTAATTATAATCCTAATCAAGTCCAAATTTATGTAAGTGGTTTTCATATTGTTTCAATCTTCTAGTTTTTAATGAGTGTTGAAAACATTTTGCAACAATGTATTTACCCTTTTGTCCTCATTTTGCAAGAAAAACTCGCTATGAAAGGAAAAATTTGGTGAACAATTGAAAAAGTTCCAAGACAAAGGCTGAGAATTTAAGTAAAACATGTATAAGAGTCTTTTGTTAGTCTAGAATAAACCATTTTTTTGGTGCTCTAAGCGGATTATCAAAATTCAGCGACAAAGAAAAGAAACAGATCAAGGAGGGATCCTACTGGTTGACATGGGTGGTTCTTATAGACTGAGGGGGAAGATGATGGACTAACTACAGGATTTTTCTCCAGTTGCTGTTACTTAAAGGTCTATTACTCTCCGCCCTTGTCCATTGCAATTACCTGCTTCCACCAATAGGATTGCTCCTCCTTGTCCTCAGTTTTGTCTATCAATTTTAATATTCAACCTGCTTAGCCATGAGCCTGATGAGGTGCTTTGGGAACAGCTTTGTGCTGGGGGCTCATGAGCCAAACAAAACTGGGGATGTTTTAACTTCTTACAGTAAACAATTTTTATGAAAGCAGCTATTAATGAGTTTTGAGTAATTAAACGTGAATGCTTGACCAATAAAAATTAATCAAGCCATTACTCACAAAATCAACCAAGATAGTTGCTATTGTCAATTTGAGGTACAAAGTTACTACCAAACCATTCGAATTGGAAGCAGTTTTTATTTATACTTTTTGTGAATGAATAAGACATGAATTAGCCAGTAAGCCGAGAAAACATTTTATGTTTGAAAGAACTGGGATATCAATGGCTAAAGTGAAAAAATAGAATGTGCATCATGGATTGCAACGTTGTAAATCTCTTTTATTTTGTTACAGAAAACTAAAAAGAGATTCTATCGGAATTTTTGGTTAAGTTTCTTCCCTCATTCTTAAAAAATCACATAAAATTGCCAGGATGAAGTTTAATTACTTTTTTTCATGTAAAGTAAATAATAATTTGAGATTTCTAAACGTTGGAATTGAGATGTATGTTTTTCGCATTTAGCTGTTGATATGCTTTGAGATTTAGCATAAAAGATGGATCTTACTTGCTAAGTCTTGACTGCAAAAGGAGAAAAACATTAGAACCCCTAATACCTAATCCTTTTTTTTAGAATGCTGTTATATTTTCCCTGTCAAATTATTTGTCTCAAATAATGGCTTTCAAATGAAAAGATCTTTCAGGCATTCCTGTTTTCTCCTTCCCTTTTTTCCTTTTCTTGTCCTATGCTTTAATCCGACTTTTTTTGCTCAATTTTTCTCTTTTTTTGATTCCAGACTTTTCAGCAGCAGCCATTCTATCCGCCAAATATGTTGCCACCTTGGGGAACTCCAAGTCCAGCCTATTTCGATATCGGTAGCGTTTTCTCAGTCAATGGCCTTGCGCCCCAAGGCTCCTTTGCCAAAGCACCCAATTCCAGGTTCATTCCTAGGAGTAACAAGTAAGTCATATGATCATTGTTTGTCATGTTAATTTGTTAAGTTTGACGATACCTGATATTATTTGATGGATATTTTCCATTTCATTTTTTCTTTTTTTTTCAATTTACACTTCTATGGTGATGGCTGAGCCAGAAAGCATCAGAAAAAGAAAGGCACATATGATATACAAATTTTTCGTTATCATTGACCATTTACTACAACACCTCAGTTAAATCTCATTTGCCAAAAAAAGAAAGAAAGAAGAAAAAATACCTACTTAAAGATTTTCAAACTCTGAAATGAATTTATGAATTTTTTAGTTTTAGCCATTGACATGCCAGGTTAGTGAAACGAAGGTATGTACATATGCTTTTTCTCGATTCAAGCACCAATAATCGATGAATCTCTTAATTATTGTTGGTACCATCTGAGTCTTTGAAGCGTACCTGTGTTTAACCTACCCTGATTGAGATGTGTGGTTGATCAATATTTGTGAATTAGCAGTCTTAATTTTTTTTTTTTCATTTTTACAGTAGGATTAAGCGTGGAACTGGTAGCGGCGGTGGAATAATGGACCAACGAAATATGGTAATAGATAACAGCTATAATCGAGGCAACAATAACAATAGTAGTAATAGTTCTGTTAAAAGCTATAGTTCAAAGTATTCTGGAAGTGAATCAAAGACTCAGGATACCGGCCAATCAGCAACCGCGTCAGATGTAGACGATTATCAAGCTTCGACCAGGCCAAGTAGTAAGGAACCACAACCCCCGCCAAGGTGAGATAACGTTTTCATTCCTTCACAGTTGTTCTCTAAATCTTTAATCCCTCCTTTATTGCTTATGTTTTTCTCTCAATAGAGTTGTCCATTGGTTTCTAGAACCATGCAAACCAAATCCTGATTCGGAAGGCAAACCTTAAAAGTCTACTCATACATATTTGTTGCCATCATAATTGTGCATCTGTAGGTAAAGAAACTTCAGCACTTCAAAACCTATAATTAAGTGCTCATTATTATCATACTCTTTTGCTGAAGACGGATGCCGTATGAGCCTTCCGTTGTTGTGTGTTATGAATATTCAGGACCTGTTCTCACCCAGAAGTGACTTTTCAATGAGGGAAAGGGGTGCCCAAAAATAACTATCAAGCTTTCTAAGCAACATCGCTTTCTGTGATTGACACCATCATTCTTTTTGCCATAATTGGAATGGAGCTCCAGCATATTTAAGTACTTTTCCTCCATATTATTTTGGAAATGAAAACGATGGTATCAATGGTTTTCTCTAAAACAAACCATAAAGCTCAATAAAAGCTCAGTATTCTTGTTGAAAATCCGCTCTTTGTGGGGACTGCAAAACCTCTCTATGCCTCTCTACTTTTTGGGGGATTCTTCACCAATCTGACCATCAATATGATGTATGTACCTCAGGAAATTTTGCCAAGCTGCTCTATTCTGTATCTTCAAAATTTCTCTCAAGCAGAAAATTTAACCTGTTGAATTTGAGGTTGGAATTTTCCAAAAGCGACCTTTTGTATTCAAATGACATTATTCTTTGAATACTAAGGTGATCAAACTTCCTAGATCAGATTCACATTTTAAAATGAAATTTTTGGCATCCTGAGATTAAAATCTATTGGAAGAATCAAGCTATCATTGTAATCTAACTGTATCTGTTGTGTATAGTTGTATGGATGTCATCAATTGCTTATTATTTTTATCAGGCATCTAAGGCGGAGGAAGAAGGAAGATGAAGTCGCTCATGCGCCGGTGTCTACAAATCGGCCCTCCGAGCGCAGTTCATCGACCCAGTTTGACTTGGAAGCAGATGCTTTCCCACCTTTACCTAGTGCTGTGACTCATCCCTCATCCTCTGCTCCAACGCAACCACATGCCCCACACCCTTCTCATACCCCTCATGCTCCACCAGTCGAGGTGGAAACCTCCCCTCTGCCTCCTGTTGTGACTGTTGCTGAGGCTCCGTCTTCAGACTCACACTCCGAAAACAGGTGAAGAAAATATTTTCTTTTGTGCCTCACCTCATCTCAATTTTTTTAAATTTTTGATTCTGATTTTGGACTCATGGACGTTAAATCAAGGTTGCTCTTTTAGTAATATGGTTGGCATATTTCTATGGTGTTACAGTCAAACCTCAAAGTTGGAAACTCAGCTAACTCTCTTGTAATAATGGCTGGGTCCAGTTTTTTTTGTTTGCCAATCCATAGTTCTTTCAACTCGGGAAACCCCTTCAAGTTGGAATTAACCCTTGGTCCTGATGCATTCCGACTAAGTGAAGTTTGACTGTAGGACCAATGTAACTTACTGAGTGCCAGCTGTTGTCACAAAAACTACCGACCCTGCCTTTTAAGTTGTATCAATTTTTATCCAAATTTTGCCATTTTTCTGTATGTTCTTTCGGTGTGACAAGAACAAAGTAAGCATGTAGAATCTGAAGTGCACAGCTCCATTGCAGAATTAGTGCCACAAAAAGCTGAGTGAGCGATTTTGCAATTCTTTCCTTTTAAAGAATCCCATAAATTGAAGGCTTTGTGTGTATAATTTCCATGCATGTATGAATACATTTGGCTGTTGCAAAATAATATGAAATCGCACAATTGTGAGGTTTTGCGATGGAGTTCTGCAATCTGTGCACTAGGGGTGATCGAAATTCCCGACTTGAGCGCAATTCTTACGGGATAGGGGAAAAAGGTGGCCAAATTGCACGTAGATTACGGGAAAAATTGTCCGCAGCCGTAATTCCAACGGGAACATGGCGCTCAAGCCCTTCGAATATTTGCATCGTTAAAATGCCTAAAAAATCAGGTTTTTTCTCATTCGGGTCGGTGAAGGTGCCCTCAAACACGCAATTTCATCATCAAGCACATGTTTTCTTATCATCTTTTCACGAGGAATCGATTTTACTGGTTTTCAAAACGATATATCGATGTTTTCAAACGATATATCGATTTTTTATTCGATTTTTGCGAAAAATGTGATAATTTTTAGCACTAATTGAATCAAATTCTATTAGCTAGTGATAT